TACATGTAACTATTTTAAATTATTAATAAAGATATAAGCAAGGCCTCACCTTAATACCAAAAAAAAAAAAAAAAAGATATAAAACTAGGCCATCTATATGTAAAATATAATTGTGAACACTTTTACTTAGGAGGCTAGAAAAGGTATACTTAACAAATTATTTAGTTATTGCCAATTTATTATCAGAGAATATTGATACAAAAGAATTAATGATTTGTATCTTTATTAGCTAATTATAAAAAAACTAAAACACAAAAAGAATTAGAAAAAATGATTAAAATATTTAAAAATAATTTAACTAAAAATTATATAAATAATAAAGATAATAAAAGTAATAAAAATAAAAATAATATTGAAATATTAAATTATAATAATAATAAATTAAATTTATAGAAAGAAATATATAAAGATAATAAATTTGAAATAAAAGAAATTATGAATTTAAATATAATTAATAATAAAATTACTAGAAATATTTAAAAAAATAAAATGAAATAATTGAAAATAATAATTATATTCATTAAATGTAATAAATAAATTTATGAAAAATATTGAAGAAGAAATTAAAAAAGAATATAAAGAAGAAATTAAAACAATAGAAGAAAAAATAAAAGAAGAAGTTGAAGTAGAAATTGAAGTAATAGAAAAAGAAATAGAAAAAGAAGCTAAAAAAGAAATTCACAAAATTAAAAAAAGAAATAAAATTATTATAACTCAAAATACTACAGAAAATAGTTATAATAGTAGTGAAGAGCTTAATAGTTCTACTTCACAATATCAATTAGAAGAAACATCAATATCAATTAGAAAAAACATCAATAAAAAAATTTAAACTTTGTAAATAGGAGTTTAAAATTATAAGAATCAAATAAAAATATTTATAATATTTAGTTAAATTATTTATTTACATTAGTATAGATAATTAAGATTTTTTTCTTATAATTTAAGATTTTTTTTCTTAATAATTTATATTAATATAATTAAAAAAATTAAATTTATTAAATAAAAATTTATTTTAGTTTTGATTATTAACTTTAAAAATATTTATTTTAATATAAAAAGTTCATTTGCAAATTTGAAAAAATTATTAAAAATTATGTATTAAGGAGTTATAAGTAACCTATTATATAAAAGGTTGATATAAATATCTACTTTTAAACATAAATGTATTATTAAATATCGACCCAAATAATGCAAATGCATTAAAATTTCATGGAGAAACTAACTGAATGATGAACATTCATATTCAGATTTATACAAATCATCAGTGTTAAATTCAAATGATACAGAAGCAATGAGAAGTAATTATCAAATATTAAGAAAATATAAAAAAATTATTTGAAGATAATTAAATAATGTATTTGTATTAAGAATGCGTGGTGCAATATATTACATATTTATTTTGAATCATTAGCAGATTTAAATGAATCATTAAAATCGATCCTAATAATGCATTTGTGTTAAGAATTTAGCATATAGGATCTATGTCCTTGAAATATTAGTGTAACTACATTAATTTGCACAAGGTCTAATAACATAAACAATCGATATTTTCACATCAATATCATATGGATTAATATGGATGTTTTGCCTAGATGTTCGAAAGATTTTTTATAATTTCTTAAAGTAATAAAATTGTTCTTGAGATATTAGTGTAACAATATTTTTTGGCATGAGATTTAATGATTTATTAAGATCATAAATGAAAGATATTTTTTTTAAATTTAATAAATTTCACCTCAAAACATAATCATATAAATGATTTGCATAAATATTTGAAAGATTCTTTATAGTTGCTTAATTTGTCCTTGGGACTTAAGTTCATCCACATTACCAAAAAAAATATGTTTTTAATGTTTTAATAAAGAATCATTAGAATTAAGACAAAATGATTATATTTCTGAAAGGTATCGATGGTATTTAACGTTTTAGTTAAAAAGTTTTCTAAATAAATTTATTTTACTATAGAATTGAGGCTGCTTGTCAATTTTAGGAATGAGTTTCTTATTCCTATTAATAATAAGTATGCCTTTCCTTTTGACATCAAATTAAGATTTTCAAGAATTTTATTTATCATTGGATGTTTTTTCGGTTCAGTGTTCCAACATTTCTTATACAGTTTAGCGTATTCTGTTGGTGTTCTAGGAATTGTTTGTTCTCGATAACTTCCGAATGTTTGACAAAGTATGGCAAAGTTATTATCAGTATATTAAAAATAACAATGCATAAACTTGGACTTCAATAATACTGACTTCGGTAAGCACGTTTGACTTTTAATAGACTTTCGAGTTTCGATACCATTTTCGAGTTTCGATACCACTTTCGAGTTTTGATACCACTTTCGAGTTTCGATATTGATATTTCGATACTATGGTATTTATCGAAACAGTTTTGACACACCAAAATAGTTTCGAGAGGCATCATTAGGCCCACTCATTAAGTAAATCTGCCCAGCTGATAATTTTGGGCCGGAAATAGTTGACTTGTATTTCTAAATACGGCCTAAATTCATCGGAATTTTGGGGATCCCCTGTATGAGATTTAAATTACGCAGTGTTGCACCGCCGTGGGTGTGACAAATAATTTCGAGACAAATAAGCATTAACTAATTTATTTATATATAATAAAGTAGTTTATACGAATTTGTCACTCAATAGTTAGTCACGCCCTGATCCTTAATTTCGTAGCTTTTCATTAAAAATTAACCTGGATCATTTCTGAATCGGTGAAAATTTATGAATGACCTAAATTGTGAAATGGCTCAGAACAAAGATTATCATCACAAATATATGCACGCGTTAGCACAAAGTTACAAAGTGAAAACGTCCAACCAGATGCTTAGAATTTCGAACTCCACTTAACTTGCCAGGAAACCATACCCTCCGTATTTCATACTCCGTTCCTAGTATCTGAAAATTACCTATCTAATTAAATCTTAACGCTGGGAGCATTAGCATCAATGAAGGACTTCAGGATATCTCTTTTTATTGAGGTTTCAAGACCTTCATTAAATACCTTATTCTGGATAAATATTGATGCATTTATATTTGTATCAACAGATATTGAATGAATACATTTCGTACTAAATAAATTATAATATCGGAAAATCACCTGTCTAATTAAATCTTAGCACCGGATAAATATTACGGGTTATGACCCATATAATAAATCTACTATAGTAGATCAGTTTCAGGTCGTTCTGATAAATGTATGGTTATATGGCTGGTTGAGTGATGTGAATGCATACCGAAAATTTCACATGTTGCATCTTCGCCTGCGTGATACTTGCATCTATATTTGAGTGCATAAGAGAGAATCATAATAAATCATTAAATGAATTTCCTGATTCACTCTCACGCACTCATTTGTTAGATAATTGAATATGAATATGGCTTAAAATGATGACTTATGACGGCATTGCATACGTGGTAATTACTAGCAGTACGAATCGCATTTTAAGAATACATTATGAATACGATACATGCAATAAATTACTTTCATTATAAATCGAATGGCCCATAATATACGTAAGTTTTAAGTTGATGATTTTGTACGTGCTCGTCTGATTTTTAATCGATAGTGTTATTTATCGCTTCCTTTTTACTAACCTTACACCAAAAAAAACCATTTGTATTATACGTTTATATGGTCCGATTCTTGATTCAATTCTGAATTCATAGGCAGAAGTTCATCTGATTAGCTAATAAATTCAAATTAACTTTAGATTATTATACAGTTTAGAGTACTTTTTAAAAAAGTAAAATCAAACCATAATAAAGTAAAAACTATATCGAAGGTTTCATTAGATCTGTATGACTCATAGTCAAAAACAAGATCTAGATCTCGTCCGTTTAAAAAAATTAGTTTAGCAATAAGTTGATTTTATCGGTTTTAAGAAGTTATTACTATACTAACTTTTTAAACGGACGAGAATTAGATCTTATTTTTGACCATGGAGTCCTACAGTTCTAATGAAACCTCTATACAACTTCTTTTTTTTATTTCGTTATGATTAGTTTTCGTTTTTTAAAAAGTACTCTAAACTGTATAAATAATGTAGAACTAAATTGGATTTATTAGCAGACAACCTTTTGCCTATGAATTCTGAACTGTCCCACAAAAGACAATCCTACGTAGGATAATCCGGTAAAATTATATAATCTTGGTTAATTAAGCTTTATAATATATGCAAATATATGCAAATAAGTACTATCGCTAACATAAGAATTTTAATATAAAATGGTCGATAATTTTTACGCAAAAAATAAAACAAAAAAAAAAATACTGACAAATTATATTCACTTAACATCTAATACTCAAAAATGTATTTACTTAACATCTAATACTCAAAAATGTATTACTACTTAGCAGCAATTGTTGCATTTGTTAGCTACTTTCTGTATAAAT